GTGAACATGATTAACAACATTAGTTTGGTTTTCTGCTCACGACATACAGACAGGGTAAAAAAAAAACCTTCCTGGAAATTGCATTCTGATAGATTTAGATATTTACAAATAAAAATATTAAAGATTAGGAAACTTTAATGTACAGAGAGACCTTTGTTTGCGGATCTGTGTTTCCTTTTGTCTCTGTAGGAAACAATGAGTGTGAAACATTGGAAATGGATGGCCAGGGTGACAGCTGTCCTGACAGGAAGAAAGGACAGAAAGGACATTATTGAGAGGGAACATATTTTAAGTTCCCTCTCAATAATGTACTGATGAGTTTGTGAAGAAGTTTTATTCGTAATAAATGATGTTCCTTTATGTGTCATATAAATGTAATGTTTTTTGTATCACAGTCAAGATGTTTTTCTGTGCAGCTGGAAAAGGTGTACAAACTAATAAAACAAGATGCGTCTACTGAAGTAAGTTTCCCAGGGATGTTGAATTTCCCCAGACAGTCATTTGGGAACATGCTGTTTTTCCCGTGGCCTTCCCTGCATGGAGATAGAGTGTTTAGTTTTCACATCCCATAAACATTACAGTGAATGAGCATAAAAGGTTCCGTATGTTTTTCTTTGTTTGGTCTTAGAAGATTGAGTCTCCACCTCGGTAGTAAAGAGAGATGAATAAAGTAACTATGCAACTCTGAGTTCGTCACAGTGGATCTTAATTTGCAGTGTATTTTTGCTCTCCGTCTGCAGATGTATTAAAGATTGATTTTGCTCCCTGTTTTTTGTCTGGACCTCAGTCTCTGAATTGTGCACTTCACAAGTCCATGCAGCATAATTGAAAACTAAAAGAATTCCTCACGGTGGCCACCATATTTTTTTGCTATCATGTTGCGTTTTTGTAAGGGTTTTCCATGTATGTTGTATCTCATTGTGAAATATCCGAAGGTTCAATATTTTTCTTTAGGATAGAATCGCACTGAAACTTTCCCGTCGAAGGAAAGAGAAAAATACATCCAAACTGTTTGGACTATTTCTGAGTCGTTTTCACAGGGTGACAGTTTTGATTGCGTCTCTTTTCTGTTGGTCGTCTGAAAGACTTAAAGGGCTGTTCTCATGTGCATCTCGAACTTACACAGACAGACATAAACATGCAGCGAACGAATCGAAGATTTAAGAAAATTTAAAGAGCCACGTTTTCACTGAGACTCTTTAAATGTGCATTTCTTTGAAATTTTAAATGGAACATTCGTGACTGTGTGAAGTAAAAATTGTGTTATTATTTCTTTTAAGAATTTTATTTTAATTCTTTAGTCAATGAACACTAGTATTGTTTAGTCTGTTAAACCATGTAGGTCAAGGAGTCTTTAAAGAATCAGTTAGGTTTCCTTTTGACCTCTCCTTGGAAAAGTTTCAGTAGGTTGTCAGTAACTAAAATCAGGTGCCAGTGTTTCTTAACAGATGACAATAAACAGGTTAGGTAATTGTAGTGAGATGGAATAAACCCTAAGGCTTAACAAATTCCTCCATTAAAATGTCACAAGCTAAGGCTACGTGCTGAGTGAACGTACAAAGTCTGATAATGTTCTTGTTATGCAAAATTGTTCCATTAGTAAACCTGATTTTTGGAAATGCACCTATTTTTGAACAAAGATGTTTCTCATCTGAACAATTAACTTACCCTAAGAATGAATGTTGCATTCTCTCTATACCCTGTTAAGAGTGACGGTGCATTAACCTGTTCGACTGACTCTGGGCCAGTGACTGACCACATTGTACAGAGAGTCCTATATATTGTGAGAGCTTGCAGCTCCAAATCAGAACTCCTTGTAGGTACAAATGTTGTTCTGTGGTTACTGTGTGTTCTCCGTTTGCAAACGACTGAAATAAAGATTTTGCTCTTTGCCATTTGCCAGAGTCTCAAGCCTGATCTGTTACTACAGATTAGATGTTTTTTCCACAACTGTACACAAAATAAACCAGGGTGTATTTGCTTATTACGAGGGAATGCAACACTTTTACGAGGTAGCGCAAAATAAAAACGTTTTCCTATTTCCAATGGGGGCTCCATTCTTGTGAACCATAATAAATGAAACATTGACCAACTATTTTGAAGTGTAATGATGATTTTGGTGATGGCACTCATCAAATTTCTCAATTGTTGGCTGTAAGGTGTTTTTTATGACTTTGTACTTTTGTGTTTTTATGATGTAAAGATACTTGATCTTTTTGCTGCAATGTTCTATACATATAACCTTGATTGATTGATAAAGCTTAATGAAATCTAATATTACCATGTGGTGAAAGCTTTCTTTCACACAGCTGTAGACCCATTTTACACATGTGAAAATATGTGACAAAGAAGCAATGAGCCATAAAACTTGGCTCCCTATCAGACCAAAACAAATACCCACATTTTGTTTAAGTGACGTTGCTGTTGGAATAGTGATACTATTATGTGATATGCTGCATGCCATCATTCATCTGTCCCCTTCCCCCCCTCCGCCCCACAGAAAACAAAGTAAAGCACAGACTATTGGTATGGTGTGGCAATTATGTACAATGAGCTCTTTGTTTAGTTAAAAAGGGGAAAATATAAAGGCAGTTGTTATGCTGTCAGAGATCAAACAACTTTATCTAAAATGATCTGTAACAAATATCCTTTGTCGTCTCATTTTGATAGTGAACAGGAAAAACAATACCAAACCCTGTTCTGTTTATCACAGAGGAAAAGGAAATTTCCTTTTCCTCTGTGATATAAAGTGTTTGGAACACAAACACTTTATATCACATGTCAAGGTTTTACTTTGCCAGTGGGGAGATCACATACACTGCAGATTTACATGCCACTGACAAGGCATGCAGGAGTCTTTAACTTACATTATAAGTCCTCTTAAACTGTGAGCGATGGAAACAAAGAAAATCACATTGTATAATTGATGTGATTTAATTATACAATGAATCATGTCATGCATTTTATTGCATTTTATTAATCAGCTACCAACCAGTAAGTATTCTGGCTCTCACAGGCCTATAGAATGAAACGTTTGTCCTCAAACAAGGAATCTGACTCGGGTTTCAATGTGTCAGCATTCAGAAAGTATGACCTGTAGAGAACAGCAGAGTTGCATACTAGTCTGGCTACAATGTTTCCATTGTTCATCAGAGAAACACCCTGTGGGATGAAAACCTCTCCTCTGTGACAGCAGGTTGTTCCAAGTTGCTGTTAGCATAAGGAAAAGAATTAACTTGTTTCTCTTTCCTTCATCAGCAGACCAAATCTCTTGGTCTCAAATATGTGACAGAACAAAGAGCCTTTCAGACTGTGCCAGCCTCAGTGAGAACGAGAACAATTTTACAAGTTTTACTTGGAAATTTCTGTCATGAAACTGCAGCATAACAAAGACCAAAGGGCAGGGAGGATGAGCAGCACCACATGAGATTGTGATTGACAGCACTAAAACTCTCCTGTCTTTGTTTAGTTGTTTCTAGAAAGCACTGGGAGAAGGAAGAGGAAATAGGTTTTCCACTTCAGCTATAATTTCACTTTTTAAAGAACGGGTCAGGAGGGACGTGGATTAGAGCTGCTGCTGACTGACTTATCTGTTAAGTGGTAAAAGGTACAAGGACAAGTTAAATATATGAATACCTTGGTAATTTTTTTCCTAAATTCATTAGATGCTACTGAAATGGAGGCAAACGGTAGTTTGTAGCTAAGATAACAGTTAGAATAATTATGTTTTGTTATCATTCTTACATTTGTAGTTTTAATAGATTTAGTATTCACATCCCTGACAAAAGGAACTTGTTAGACCTTGAAGCTGCAGCCATTTCTTATCTTAGGATTCTCCTAACACACCCTGTGTGTAGAGCTTTCTTTGTCCTCCCTCCACATTCCTTTCCTGCTATGCTTTGTAATAACAGACCAGTTCTGATGCAGAGTCAGAAAGCATGGCAGACACCTTGAGGAAGTGGTCTGCTGTGTTTTCTCATTTTGCAAAAGACTTGCTTGAAAACTCAAACGTTGTCTGTGGTTCTCTTTTTATGTAGGTTGAGAAAATACCTATCAATAACTATGTTAAATGGTTGATAATCTCACACAGTCTACCTGCCTCTCGGAGAAAAACTGGCTCTTGGCTTTTTCTACCTCTCTCTCTCTTTTTTATTTGAAACCTGACACAGTAACTCCCACAACCATTCTTGTTTTCCACGGACTGCTGTTTTAACACTGTCACCATCACCATCATTGAGAACTGAATAGATACCCAATGAAGTCTGTTGTCTACGGACATAAATTCAGCAGTGACTGTGTGAGCATATCCAAAGTAAAACAAGAAAATATTCTTTAGAAAAACTATAAACTTAGCAAAAGAAGTTTATTTCTCTCCCCAGACTTTTCCAGAAAATGTGATGTCTGAAGCTAAATTTAAACAGAAAGAAAAAAGAAAATAATGTTTTCCTTCTTCTGTATCACATTTATAAACTCATGATATCATCACGTGACCAGTCTTTTTTATGCCTATATTTCATAAAACCTATTTCCCAATCTCAAACCTGAAACAGATCTCAAACAGAAGTGTGACAATAAAAGCACAGAAGTGCGTAACTGAATCTGAGTAAAAGGCAGTCAAGCATTGAAAGAGGGGAGAAAGGATATAAACAGCCCCAAATGGAAAAAATAGTTACGTTAGCAACAGCAGAGGCACACATCAATAAACTCTAGAGCCAACCTGCTAAAGTAATCAAACATGAGGCTGCAGCAGAACCCACCACACACTGCAGTCTGAACTGTTTTGCTTAAACCCTTTTCCAGGCCTCTGCTTTGGATACTTTAATTTCCTTTTCCTCTGTCTTTGTAAGTCATACACAGTCTAAAGCACAACAAAGTCACATGGTATCTTGAAAATTAATGCCTAGTGTGGCTTTGCATTGGGTATTTTTTTTTAATATTTGCTTTGTTTTCTGATTTCAGCTACATGCTATACAGATGTAAGGAAGTATGTGTTTACTCACAGTAGATCTGTACTTCGAAAGGTAAGGATTCATTTCGTTCCACGGAAGTGATGACACATTGGACCTTACTTCCATTGATCTCTTTGGTGGGCTTTCCCAACAATGTGCTGACTGTGGTGGTCGTATTGTTGTTTTGGAGAGTTGAGTTGTTCGTCCATGTCACTTTGTCTTTTAGACTATCAATTTCCCAGGAAACTTTGGCCGGTGGATTGAATCCAGCAGCGGTGCAGGTCAACAGAGGAACCTCTTTGCTTCCAAGAGTGGGTTCGGTACTACTTACACTTGTTCGTAGGGGTACTAGGGTTACAAGAAAAAAAACAACACTTCTCTTAATTTCTACACAAACTCAACGTCCAGGACATGGTTTTAAAAATTCTACTTACCACGGACAGTTAGCTCTACAATTGTTTGAGGATATCCTGAAGGGAAAATGGAAAAGATACAAGTGTAGGTTCCAGTGTCCAACACATTTACGTTAGATAGCTGGAGAGTCCCATTATGTTCAGCAAATGACCCGATATAGCTAAATCTCCTATCAGGTCCGTTAACAAGACGAGCCTCATTCTTTGTGATGGTAAAGAAATTGTCCGTTCGCAGTTTTTCTTTCGTCTTTCTCTGCCATGAAATCTGTTCCAGGTTCTCAGATGCCGTTAGCGTCTTTGTCAGCTTGCAGGGTAAGATGGTGGTATCTCCCTCCAGTACAGTGATACTCTCACCTGCAACCTGTACTGTAATAAAACATAAATGTTAAGAACCTAAAATCTGCAGCAAAATAAAAGGCAGCAATAAAGAGTATATGGACTTAAGGCCAAAATTATTCTTATCTATTAATAACTCAGGGTTTCGCCCAGAAAACTTGCTGAGCCTGTAGTCCACCGAATTTTTGTATTAAAAGATGTTAAGTTGACAGGAAATGCAAAACTGTTACGGGAAGACATCTCCATTGAACTGCCCACAAGTATAGAGTTCTAAAAACAACAAATCAAAAAGAACAAAACACTTGAATATCAACTGTTTGCTGTATTAATTCAGCAGCTTCTTAAAGCCTTTGTAAAAGTTCAAAGAAAAATCTTCATATATTGCTTTGTTTCCACAGCTACAATATGATACTAGGAGTTTAATCTTTGAGTTTGAGCTCTGTTTGTCCCAAATATATCTAAGTAAGCTGCAATTATCACTTATTGCTGTTTAGGTTGGCAATAAACTACTCCACTCTCTCTCCAATTTCACTAACTCCAATTGAGGGTCTCAAGGGAAAGACAGGACAACTAGGAGACTCGGGACACTGAAAACTCAAAATAAACACACGGGAAAACCCGGAACATGACATTATCTTTGTGAACAAATAATTATGAGCGTTGTTTACATCTCCACACACTGGCTATATTTCTGTGGTGGTAAATGATGATGTATTTGGTCCCAGTTTGCCTGAAGTGTTCGTGTTTAAGCAGTTCAGCCTGTGGAGGAGCTTTCAGGCTTGTCTTGTAGTCACTCATCACTCTTTGTTGTATTTAATTAATATTTTATGATTATTTTTCCAGTTACACAATGCATCACACCATATGAAATGCTTTGTCCACTTAATCAGCCAAAGTAAATGCTTTCAGCCAAGTGGAGATCTGAAGAACTTGTCCCATGAAGCTCAGGCAATCAAAACAGTTTCTTTGATGTTAAAAATTCAAAAGACACAAAGGACTGGCAAATTAAATCTCTCATTTGTCCCCCTGTATCCAGTAGAGATGTGCAGTGCAGTGAATTTAGCTCGTCATGCAGGGCCGGTTCAAGGCCGTATGAGGCCTTCAGTAGAATTTCATTTGGGGGCCCCTTTTCCTGCTAAGAACATCAGCACAACTTACAGCGTTTCATAATTGGAGTTAGTTGACAGACGGATGGAGGCGATTAGGGCATTCCAGGTTGAAGACACAATAGGACGTTAGAATGGGAAAATACATGCACTTTATAACTTTAACCATGTAGTTAAAGTTAGTAGGACATGGATAAGCACAAAGAATATCCATGCATTTGAACGGCCCTTTAAAAGCCCACACCTGAATGTAACTCACCCATCTCTGAAAATTCTTGAAAGGTGACATTCACTGATTGTCTCTATTCAACCTAACCGAGCTCAGCCAAATCTGCGAACATTTTGAGAGAAATTCTGGAACGCCAAATAGGCCCAAATGTCAGGCTCTAGATGTGCAAAGCTACACCAACAGATTTACAGATGTAGTTGCTGCAATTGGGCTCAAAGTGTTGACTTGGTAGTACCTGAAGAGAAATGTACAACACAGAAATCACCTTTATGTTCGTTAAAACAAAACAAACGTGTCAGTTCCTTCCACCTCACAAATTTGCACCACTCTCTGTAGGGCAGGTCACAGAAGACAAGGATACAATGTAATATTCTGCAACCTCCTTGAAATGCGAACACAGTTGAAGGAGGATGAATGTTTTTGCAAAACACTGTGACTCAATGGGATGCGTGGCCAGGTGTCTTTTTATTCGCTTACATCATTTAGAACTGGATGGTAGCTAAACGAGATCATTAAATATCAAAGTAAGCCTGCTGTTTTTACAGTTTCCTGAAATTGAGTCTGCATCCTTATTTCATCATAAAGAGATTAGATTTTGTGCAGTGCGTCACACAATGTTCAATCGAGCATCGCACGCTGCCTGCAGAGTTCCCCCTCGAAACAATTTGCATGAGGATAAATATAGCGAACGTGTTAAAATGGTTCTCTCTGTGAGAACAGAGGGCAAACAACGAGACATACGGCATCGAGTGAAGTCCACGTCACGTTGCAGGTTTTTCTCATTAAGCCCACTACAAAGCACCATCGACACAACCAACACAATAGTCACTGCTCTTCCCAGAAAGCATAAAGACGTGCTTTGAAAAGCGTACATACCCCGCGCATCTCTGCAACAGACGAGCGCAAACACCAACAAAAGAAGCTTGCGAAACATTAAGACACCATATGGCAACAAAAACGAGGGCAAAATAATCCTGCCGCTTGAGTTTTCGCCAGTGATGCAGGGAGGGCGTGGCCTTCTTCGCTGTAAAAACACAGGCGTTTCCACCTTCTGCGCTGAAATCCTCAATATTCACAAAGAAAACAAGAGTCAAACAAGGATTGTCATTGCACTAACATGCGTACTCTTGTGAAATGAAGTATCAGTTTTAAGCGAATGACACAATTTGCAGATCATCGGCCAGGCTTTGCAGCTATTTTTATTTGGGTAAAGTCTGGTATCGCATGTATCAGAAACAGATGAGTACATTTTCTAAATGACTTTTAGATCTTCATGCTATCTGGAAAAAGATGAAGCTGTACACTGGATTCATCTGTGTTACTGTTTTAATCAAGTGCTGAAAAACTCAGGACTTAAATCTTGCAACAAGAGATATTTTCATTTTTATTAAAAAAAAAAACTAAATCAATAATAATTAGAAAAACACTGAATCAAACAATGACAGAATAGCTTTTGACTTAAGTTGTCTTACAGTGTCTCGACATTTATTTACATCTACTAGCTACAAACTTATGTACAACATTTATACTTGATAGGCACAAATATATAAAAAAAGAAAACAAAACAAGCAGCAGATTTTAGTGAAAAGTTTTAACAGCTGAATCAGAGCCTAAATTACATTCAAAATCAAACTTGAAACATCTGCTTATCGATAAATATAATTTTCATCATTACTACATTATCAAGAATATCCCTGAAATAAATAAGGTCTAATAAGTTATAAAGTTCAGCTTAGACTTGATGATGTTGAACTGGGATCAGGTTGATCTCAGCTCAGATCTGATGATGTTTGTTGAAAGAGTTTTCAGCAGGAGAAAAAAAAAAGGAATCCTGACAAAATATCTCACCAGAGATGCTGAGATGACAGGCGGCAGAGTTGAAGCCATTGATAGGCTGACAATGGCTTCAGTCCTCAGTCTGGGCACATGAAGTCTGATTTGTCCTCTGATCAGACTTCATGCATCTTAGTGTCTCAGGATGAAAACTATTTGACCTGAAACACTGATCACACCATTTTTTATGAACACGCAGTACTCTTTTTCTTGCTGAAGTTCAAAAAGAACAGATGTAAAGCAGAAATCTGATGGATCCAATCTGGTGAAGGTCCACCAGAGTGAGTGCCTGAGAGAAGCTCTTTGTCACATCCTCCACAAATGCTTCTGCTAAAGGGACAGAGAAAAAAAGACAGAAGGAACTGATGAGTGCATTTCATACTTGAATCATTTATGTAACAATATCTGGTACCTGAAAATCAGCATCAGTACCGAGTTTTGGTACTTTTGTGTGTATTTTTTTTTTTAATAAGGAGATTTTTCTTTTTTTTAAATTTCTCAATACAATTTAACAGATATAGACAACATCATCCAACTCCTTGCATTGTAACATCACCGCTGTTTAACAAATGTTTTTGGAGTAAAGCAGTTGTTATTCTGGCGCAAGAGCGTACTGACGTCGGCAGTCGTTCAGATGCGTATGGGTACCGACGGAATTCGGTGTGTCGTTTTAAAACCATTGAATTCGGGACTCATTACACAACATCCAGAGACTGTCACATAACGTATAACTCGGTGGTAGCCTAATATACAAAATATTCATCAATTATCAAATAATTACACCTTTCCATTAAAGTTGGGATATTTAAATTTATCTAAACAAACAAACAAACAAAAAAAAAAAACGTTTTTTTACGTAGCCTACTCACTAAAGCTGGGATATGGAAAATCTATTTATTTATTTTAAATGTTTTTTTTTTTACGTACTCATTAAATCTGTCACAAAAGACAAATATTCTGTGAAAAGATGACATAGTAACAGTTTTATCTTTTGTTTTTGTTTACATAAAAAAATACTCAAATTTAAGGAGTCCACTCAAAATCATCACCATAAACTGAAGTCAGGTTTATCTGTACAGATTTCAGCATGTCAAAGTAGTTTACATCAGAAAACATTTTGCACATTTCTTATGAACCTATTTGCATCTTTAATAAAAGTCATGATGACAGTGTATTAAGAAAATGAAAAAATAAAGAAACAACAAAAAACAAAAACAGCGTGACTTTCTATCTGTAGAGGCCTATGCTAAAGCTGACCATCCTTTGTTTAGAAAATTATACAGTAATGTAGCATTTATGGCAAGCCAACTACGCATTTATTCACTATCCTTTGACTTCAATTTAGCAAAAGTTTGCATCTACACTACACCACACACACATTTGCGCAAGCCAGAGCAGCATTTGTCACAAAGCCCCTAACCCTACCTACCACATGGTATCTCAACGGCTTATGCCCACAAATGATCTTTATCTAAACAAACTGACTTACCTTCTATGTGGGTATTGACCACAATGCATGGGCTCCACCCCTATGTGGAAGTAACAAAACATATGACAAACAGACCGTGTTATAATGGCAAAGGTACTGAAACTCATTGCAACACTTGAGACGTTTTTGGAGTCATTTTTCCTTGTCATCCAACACTAAGGCAAAGATGACAAGCAAGAAAATTCTCAAGAGTCCTACATCGACTCTGTAAGGGTATTTGCAAGACACAATGTAGAAATCTGTTAAGGATCACATCTTTTGCAACCAGAGGAAGAATGAAAGGCACAAGTCTCATGTGAGTCTGAAAGCTGTCTCAGACTCTCTTTGCACTTACAAAATAGGTGAGTAATAACTTAAATAATACTGGCTTTTGCATATTTGCCTTCAGGCAAATGCTTAAAAATAAACAGTATAAAAAGGTGCTTAACTGTAAATACCACAGTTAGGGCAGCACATTTTCTTTTTCTTTTTTTTTCTCCGAAGAGTTTTTAGCAGCACTAGTGGCTCGCATTTTTTGACAGTAGACTGAGATGAAAGAGGGAAAGGAGGGGGGAAGACATGCAAGCCAGTAAAGGTGCAGTAAAGGTCGCCGGGCCCGGGAGTTGAACACGCGACGTCCTCGTCCAGGCGCGCTGTGGTGCTGCGCCACAGCGTGCCTTTGTGCTGCCGTAGCACAACCATAGGAATTCACACTCATAAAATCAAGCATACATGTGTTCACTAATCGATTTATGATTTGACTAGAAATAAGTGTCATCGTGGCAAAAAAGGGATGTTCACTGCCAGTTTCTAACCCAGAAGTGTGTGTCACATCCATTCAATTTTCAAATGTGCCGCAACTGAGACTCTTCAAGAAAGGCAAAGAAAGACAGGTTTTGTTTTTGTACCCTCAATGATCATTTGAAATAAGCTTAATAAGGGAGGATATGATGTTTGATTCTTTTATAAGTAGAACAATTGCTCAAAAGAAGGCAAGAAAAATGGTGATTGTCTTTTGGATAAATACAAAATCAAAAAATCTTATGAAGTAACCTGGATTAGACCCCTTTTTCTAATATTTCTAGAGAGGATAAGCCATATTTAAATAGGAACTCAAAAGTAGTGGGATTTTCCAAATCGGCATCAATTCAAGATCTGCTCTTTGACTCACTCGCTGCAATGACATGTATTGATAATTATTGATCAGAAGAGTTCATGCACTTGGTTGCAAGTTGTTATTTGGAGGTATATGCTTTTGTTTCATATTTTAAATGTGTCGGTGCTGCTGAGCTGGCCTTTGAAAAAAATTGAACGAAAGCAATCAAGAACATTTTAATAGTGATCTGAGAAAGTTCAACATCAATAAAGTCCCACATTATTTTATTTTCTGTTTTTTTTTTTTTTAAGAAATGAGAAAATGATATAATGATGTGCACAAAAGACTAAATGTCTGACACATCCAGTTACATCATTTCAAAGTATCATCATTATTTTCCCATAAAAAAATGTGGCAAAATGTTTTCAAAATTGTGAGGGTTGTGACGTCACTGCTGTCATATACGTTGTATACCATCTCCCTCTGCTGGTCGAATGAGGTAATTGGCTCTCTCTTTCTGTCTGGTGGCGTTTTACGTGTCAGAAACACGTCATCAGAGCGCAGTTCCACTTTCACGTGATGTTTAATACGGGGATGATATTCTTCTGCATTGATCTCATTTTAATCAGTCATCCTAATTTCTTTAGATTACATGTCTGTGTAAGGCGAAGGCGTTTTATTTATAGCGCTCACGTTTTTATTTGCAGCCCTAATTTTGTCTTTGATCATTGTCCTTTTTCTTATTAAGCAGAAACAGAATCGATTTTGCTTCCATGAGAAAATCAGACAAATATGAATCCTCATTTGAAAACCTAATTTCTTTGCCTAGAGAGACTGTTTGACCTCAAAACCAATAAACAAATGAAAAAAAGCAAAAAAAAGAAAACAATTTTTTTTTTTGGCATTGTGATGGAAATATATTTTGGTAAAGTCAAAACAGTTATAATCTCAGTTGAGGATGCTGACCTGTCTCACCACCTATTTCCAAGTGTCTTCATCGGTTTAAAACCAAATTGAGCCTAAAGTTGATGCTGCAGCGACATAAGAAGGTGTTTAATACGTCTTGAAATTTGATGAAGAATGTGGCTGCACTTGGTTATTTGTTATGAGCTGAGTGAACTAGATTATGTCAAATGAGATCTGCCTTCGGTCCATTGCAACATCAATGTTCGATGTGTATCAAGGACACATAACCCACTCTCCATTTGACATCAAAACAAATGGAGCGGTTTGAGCCTGTGATGTTGAAAAAAAAGAAAAAAGAAAAGTGAAAACGTTTCAACTTGATTCAGAAAAAAACCTGCATCACAAACCCACAATTCTTCCTTATCGCTGCAAAGGCAAAACACGTTGAGTAGATGGAGACATATCAGAGGTGTTTGTGTTAAGCTGATCAACAGCAGGTGAGAGACAGTCTGGAACTCTTTTGCCCACTTAAAATGTTGTTGTTGCCCGTGTGTTAAAATCGTAGGTGTTTAGATGTAGAAAGAAAGTAGCTTTCAAGGACCACCCATGTTAAATATGTCCTGGTAGCAGACTTCAGGTAACATCTGCTTAAATATTTCATCTTAGATGAAAAAACTAGTTGGATGAACTGAAATAAAATAAATGCTTCTTGTAATTACCTGCAGTGAGTCTTCTTGTCTTGATACATCAAGCATGCTTTAATAATGTCCTAGACGTTGAAGATCACCGATCACACACAATTGAAACAACCAGCGAACATTATGCAAGTCATTTCCTGCCTTTCAAGCAGGAAATGACAGCTTAAAAATGCCACTTGAAGTGCCACTACAGTACCACCGTAACTACACACTTCTGTCTTCATTTTTTTTTTGTTGCTGTTGGTTTTGATTCACTGGGGTCTGCGGATCAGGTCTGTGCAGAGGCTTCCTGCACTAGTTTACAAAATGCTGGATGCTTGTAGGCACTTAGACTTGAAGTGCCTGCAATTGAATCATGTTGCAAAGGAACAATCTTCACTTTTAAATGTTTTTCAATTAGGTTTTAGAAAGTGGAAATATTAGCATGACGAAAAAATATGTCTGTTTCAGTCTATTGCACTGCCATTTCAAATCGAAACCCCTTTGCTGCCTTTTTTCACAGAAAACTTATTTTTGTCCTCTTTTCTCTTGTCTTCCTCTCTCAACCACATTTAAAGGTTTCAGCTAATGTTTGATTTACAGTTTATGAATGCCTCTATTGCAGCAAAGTGATTCTCAACGCTGTCCATTTTGCTGTTGGATTAGGATGCAAATCTCACTCTAGAATGATTACGTACTATGAGAACTGTGGATGTGGCCAAAAGTGCTACATAGACATAAAAAAATCAATCTTATACCATGCTCAACTTGTATCAAGACATCTTGAGAAATCCCCTCAATATTTTTATTTATCTATTGTTTTGCTTTATCGAGGGACCAGGCCCAAAAATCTGTCATAATACAAAAGTTATTTACCTACTGAACAACAAACAGCTAGTTTGGTCCTTTTTCATGAGTCCATCTTGACTGGGATATTTTGCTTAGTGAGTTTGCATGCGTCGCTTTATAAATAATCAAAGAAAACAACAAAAAATATCAAGTAAGTCATAATTTTCATGAAAGTACACTCAATCATAAGCAATGTAAAAACACAATAAACAACAAAATCCTCTGGAGTTTATGGATTCCCTGCATATTACTTTGTTATATATAGTTTATTATATTCTATTTAAAAAAAAAACTAAACAAAAATAAATATATAAATTATCTAAAATGTCCTTATAAAAACACATACAAGTTGTACCTGTCCAGACCTGCAGACCATGAAACACAAATTTAATGAAGCAGTACCTCTGACAATACAACAGACCCTCAATAAGATGCTAACAACAACAAACTTGGTTTTTGTTTTTGTGCCTTATGATTTGAACCATTAAATATGAAGACAACCGTGTTGCTGGGAGAGGTCTGCTTCTTGTCCTCTTGTGTTTCTTCTGATCATAAAGACAACATGAAATGTTCATCAAGCATTTCTTTCTTTCTTCAAAGGCCTGGAATATGTCTCAGCTCAGAGATGGCCATAAATTGAATTCAGTCTCTCAATGTACATCCGCCTATGCTGAGTGTTCCTCCAACAGTCTGGACTCGCTGGTAGACTGACGAGCTGGTAGAGCTGCAGCATAAAGCCAGAGTCACAGTCAATGGGTTGTGGAGAAAAGGGTAGAAAGATTCAGAAAGCAGAACATCTGGTCATTGACACTCATAAAACGGAAAGGTTAACTAACTTCAACTACAACCTTGAGGAATAGTGAAGAAAGTGGAGAATAAAACTGTGATCTTTAACGGTAAATACTGTAATGGATTGATGATAGGAGAGATGTTTACATTAAAGACAATTATTTGTGGTAGTTTTAACAGTGGTGTGTGGAAATACATTTTATATTATTATTATTATTTTGACCTGTTGTTCTGGTTGAGATGCGGTGTGCTGGTGCTGGTTGTAGACCGGGCCTTGGTCTTGTCTCCCTCTCCCACTCTTTCTGCATAGATAAACCATATTACATTAACATTCCTTCACATTTCTTTACAGTTCCGTAGTTTTACTTTTAGCTATATTTTAGCCTCTTTGGGAAGTATTCAAAGCACTTCATATTTTTCCTTTTTGTTACGTTACAGTTTTGTTTCAAGATGATTTATCTTTTTTTTTTTCAAACTTGAGACATGAGACCCAAAAATTAAGTTGTAAGTTTCCTTTGCCTTTATCTCAATGCCATCTTGTTCTGCAGCTGTTTAGACATTCCTAGACCTGCTGAATTGGCAGGCATAACTAAAAGGTTGAATACTGATTCAAGTCTGAACAAGCTGAGTATCTTGGCTGGATACTTAAGGCCCTTGTCCCAAAGATGAACTGTTGCCTTTGCATTAATCTTTTCCTCGATCCTGAATAGTTTCCAAGATCCAGCCATGGAAAAACATGATGGTGCCACCACCATGCCTCACTGTGTTCACAGGGCATTGGCCCTGTGTTCAACAGTGCTTAGATTCCTCCAGACATACTGATCTGCTATATAAATAAATTTGACATTTAAATATGACATTGACTTACATATTTGTACTCGAGACACGCAAGCATGAGTAAACTCTTCATAATCAGCACACCTTCAGCAACAGCTAAATGTGTGCAATCAAACCTGAAAGTTATTTGATCACGATAAGCTTCACTTTAATGCATTGGAGTAATGCATTCTGAAACTATTTCTTCTGCTTCCACACCTCTCAGAGATAAAAGGGCCTGACTTAACCGCGGAAACAACGTCTGATGTTTAGCAGGAAGCCACTGCAAGCCTTTGGTTTCCTTAAAATGTTCGCACTAGTCTAGGTTTGTATGAAAACCAAGACTCCTTATGTCTTTGTCTCTCTCTAGTTTATCATGTTGTCTTTAGTTTCAATGATTCTTCAGTGTTAGAATTATTTCCAGCTCCCTTGTGTTTCCTTCCTCACTCTTTTGTGTCCCCTGTATAGCTTCCCTGTGCCACCTTCTCCCCACCCCTCAGCTTGACTCCTACTCCAGCTACTCACATCTGCTATCGGTTACCTCTTCTAGCCAGGACCAGTTTCTAGCCAGCCAGTTTTTTGGGTTTGTCATTAAACATCCACACCCTACTATGTCTCCTGCCTGCCGCATTTGGGTCCACAGTGCAACACAGGACATATTTGTTAAAATACCAACAGATACAGCGCACATGACCAAAGAAGCAACCTATTCTATTTACAAAATCTTCCATTTCAAAAAGACCACAAAACAGCTTTTGTGTCTATACAAGCCTGAGAGTAAAGCAAGAACGTGGAAATCTTGATGTCTGTCATCGCCATGTGGGCAGTCTGAACCGTAACAAGATGGCTTCTGTGGCTACGATAAAGCAAGGAGTCACTGCAAGGGAGGTCTTCTGAGTGCAAATGGGCGTATGTCGCTTTAAGTGACCACTTTGAGTGGTCACAAAAAACATTTATCAGACATTGCACAGAGGATAAGACCTTGCGAAGATCTGACACAGAACCTTAGAGATGTGTCATCATAAACTGTGAAACCAACTACTCAACACTTTGGGAATCATCTTGTTGGTGGTATTATGCTATATGACAACTATTACAGTGTGACGTCTTTGGTATTTTTCAGTAAAATTTATTTCCATCACGGGCTGTAAGTATCAAAATGCTCAATGATCAAATTTAAAAGTAAGTCTTTGCTAAGACATTTGTGTTTTGAGACAACAGTGGTTCATCCACTGAGTTCAGGAGGCTCATGTTTGATTCATGTTTTTGTCATTGAGAGTTAAGAGGTTAGCTTAAAAATAAAAATATTGCACTGGAAATGATACGCTTCTGTACTGAATCCAAAAATGTCTAAAACAAACAACAGAAGGATTATTAATCATAACTATTTTCAATTGGCTACAAGCTGCATAGAAGCAAAGCTTAAAGAAATGAGGGACGAAGAACTGTGGATAAAGAAAATGGAAAAACAATCCAAACAGTTCTAGATTGTCTGTATTGCCAGCTTTTATCTGGGGTTATTTTATTTCCTTCCTACCAAGGTGTTTAACTTTTACTCTGGGTAAAATATATTTGTTTATATGTATGGGCTCCATTTATCTGGCATCCCATTCAGCCTCATTAATCTTTAACACAACCAAGCTATGAGATGGGGTGAGAACACAGTTGCATATCTAATGTATTTAAAGATTGTTTTTAGGATAAAAGAAACAAAAACTGCCCACATTCATCTAACGCAGACTTCAGAAGTCACATTAATTTTTTAAACACATTTCAAGTAAGTTGATGTTTTATTGTGAAACACAATATTCTGATAAAAATGAGCGATCACAATAATAGTACAAGCAGTTCTCTTACAGCAAAAAAATTACTAAAAAAAATCCAGAATTGTAACTCTAAAATTAAAAGGTATTACTCACTTGCAGAGCCAGATGACTACGATGCAACATATAAACAGTCCAGTGGCAGGTGACAGAAAAAAAAAACTGTACCTTGAGAAATTAACACCTGAAACAAAGAAGAGGAATAGTGGAAAGTAAGATCATTTCGAACTGTACAAGAAATGCTGCAGAACTAATCAATCTTTTAGTTTTATCTCTACATACCTTGTTTGTTAAATACAGTTAAATTCCATGCGATGTTTCGAACGCCTCCTCCATCAGATACAGTGCATGTATACAGTCCAGAATCATCATGTCGAGCTTTAAAAATGCTGAGCTTGGAAGGTATGTTAGAGTCTATTTTGACTCTTTCAGAGGAAAAATTTGAGTACGTCTGATCCCGTTGGGCGGAAAATGCAAAATAAGATCGTCCATTGTTCCACTGGATTAGAGTTGTGGCATTCTCAGATATGTTGCAAGTAAACATCACCGGGTCGCCGCTGGACACCAACATGTTCTCATGCGCTTCCGTCTGAGTCGCTGATACTGAAATATACAGACCAATGCTGCAGTAAATCTCAGTTCAAATATGGAAGAAAACATGCAAAACAAGAAGAAATCTGCACAATACCTTCAAAGACATTCTGGATGTTTAACAGCTGAATGAAGAGTAGAGATTCTTGCCTCAGACTGAACATGGTGACCATTTGATAGAAAAGAACCAGACTGCCAAGTTGTCGTCTGCTACAAATGTAGACGCAGGGGAAGCAATAAAAAGGGAAGTGGTTGAATGTGTCTATCAAAAAAAATTGAGGAAGAGTGTCAAAGAGTTCATGGAAACAATCATTAGGCACCAAAGTTGTTGAAATGTGAAATAAAGTCAATAAGCCAATGTTTGAAAATTAATTAATTAATATAAGAACCCAGAAAGTTTCTTTAGCCCTCCATTTTTTGCAAACTGAACTTGTTGATCCATTCAGTTTCACCTACCCTTCTACCTCACCGTCTCCTTCTTGTGTTTGTTTATTCCTATTAAAGGACATTTAGGTAGAGAACGCAGAAATGTGTCAGCCTCTTGTGATCCAGAGACACATTACAGAAACTGAGGTCATATCACCTCAGCATCTCATGCTATGTCGCAGATAAACACTCAGATTGCTCCTTTATTATTCAGCAAACTATAATCTAGTTGCAGATACTGGAAACTTCAACAGTGTTTCAAGAGGGTGAGTACATGTCATGACATAATCACAGATATATTAGTGTTTCTCACCTTCTTGTAAACCTAACAAGCCATCTTTCTGGTTTGAAGTAAGGGTTGATTTGCTCCTCTTTAGGATGAAATGCAGAGCTCTTGCGTACAGTACTGACCCAGTTCGCTGAAATAACTGTTCGGCTAACACTGTAATTTCACTTTCATCTCTCTGAGCAGGTAGCGAAAAATGATTGTGACGCTCACTGACTGTAATGGCAGATAAATGTGTCATCAGTCTTGATGTTTTCTTCGTACAGGAGAAAGGAAGCACAGAGCGACCACAACCACAAAGTCATGTGATTATTTTACTGATATTAATGATGTTCGTTTTCTGAGATCGACTCGTTAACAATTTGTCAGTGAAAGAAGGTGCAAGAAAAGCTGCTGAATAAATGTTTCCTCAATTCGCACATTTGTAATTTATCGTGCTCAGCCACGTTAGCTTGATGTGCCTCCATGTTTATGTAAGTAATGGGGCCCAAGACTCATCACACAAATGATGCATTGTAAGATGATCCAAGACCATCCAATTTTATCAAGATATAAACGTTTAGCCAGCACTGTTTATTCATTAAGACAAAAAGCATTGATGCTATTTGGCCCAAGTAGACTCACCAGTCTGATTCTCTTTGAAAAGTAAAAAAAACAAAAAACATATTGTCAACGAGTCTCTCAGCCATTTAAGGAGTCTCAACAATGTTTACACTTTTCTAAGGGAAATAGACATGACATCAACATGCATAAAGATGATAAGAGGTGTTTGTTTTTGTTAGTTTTCTCAAAAGCTCCTTATGGCTACAGATAAATTAAACAATGCAAAGGTCGGAGAATGAAACACTGTGGTACATTCATGAGTGGCACAGCAGAGTCTTTGTTAAAACCACAGAAACTGACACAGTCTGTCAGAAACTGATGAGATGCACAGAACACAAGGCTGCTGAAAAATCCAGTAAAACTGAATGCAATATCACCATGTTCAATAACTAAAAGAATTTCATTTAAAAAAGCTCTCAGTACATTAGACTCTGTGCTTTAGAGAGAGGCTGCACAGTGGTTGCAAGTTGGTAGCAAGAGGGTCCTGGGTTCGAGTCCCAGTCCGAGCTCTTTCTGCTTGGAGTTTGCATGTTCTCCCTGTGCATGCATGGGTTTTCGCCTGGTACTCTGGCTTCCTCCCACAGTCCACAAACATGACTGTCAGGTTATATGGTCTCTCTGAATTCACCTAGAATGGTTGTTTGTCTTGGTGTTGCCCTGCGACAGACTGGCGACCTGTCCTGGGTGAACCCCGCCCAGAACATAGCTGGAGGTAGGCACCATAAGGTATTTTTATTTCCCAATCTTATTCAGGTCAGGTGTGTAGCAGTCTGGAAACACTCAAGAAATTCAGGGATGTTTAACATGGTCCATGAAGACAAGCATTGAGGCCCATGACGGTACATGTATAGAATCCTGCATTATCACGTATGAAGATCCTGAGCTTGGAAAGTATGTTTGAGTCTATTTTGTCTCCTTTAGAGGACATACTTTAGAAAGTCTTCTGTTAACATGCACAGTGCCAAGGAAATGAAGTGGTTGGATGTGTCTTTAAAACAATCTGACCTTTACTCTAGTAAATAATCAAGGTCAATAAGCAGCTGTTCTAAAACAAAATGTTTGCTTCTTGATGCTGATAACTCAGTATTGAACAAATTATTTATTGTATTTATGGATCGCTGTATTCCCTTTGCTCACCGTGTTATAGCTTATGGAGGACGTGTGCTTCAGTGTTTCTAAGCATTCAAATAAAATCGGCTGAATCTCTCGGACCAGGCTGTGATTTATTTTTTACTTTTTATGACCAAACTATGTTTATTGATGCCAAATCCCAAAAAGAACTTTGGAATTATTTTTTATGAACTAAGAATCCCAATGGAATAAGGCAATGGAATAATTTACTCTATAAACGATCCGTTCTCATTAATCCATGTCTTTCAAGCATATCGTCTTCAAGTTTGAGCAATTTTAGCCCTTTATTTAATAGTGATAGATCAGCTGTTGGATGTTGTATTTATGTTTTTAGTTGTCACTGCCACAGTGGCATTTTCTTCCAGGTTAGAAGAAAAATATTGATGTTGAATGTATCATAATTCATCAGTGAAAAAAGGTTAAAATTTTGATAAAAGGTAAACTTGCTTTTCCCAGGAGATCTGCTATATCTCATTGACAAACATTTGACAGTCATAACTGACTGATGAAATTGTGTTGGGACTAAACTGATAATTAGAACTTGTGTTAATAAACTTGTGTTTGGATGTTTTTGTTTTATTTTTTAAAACAATCTCTTTACCAAGCAAGTGTGAAATATGTGCTATAAAATATTTACTACTTCTATAGTCTCCACAAATTCAATTTCAAAAGAACTGAACCATTTTTGAGTAGTTCTAGTATAGTATCAATGAGATACGATACTGGAAACTCACTCACCCCAGGGCTGGAAAGAAATAAGATAAAAATCCCAATTGACAGGATTGAAACTAAAATGAAATGAGTCAGTTTGAACTGAATTTATCCAAATTAAAATAAGCATTTTATGTAATGAAAGCTTTTTCAGGACATAATTGGACATGAAGTGTGCCATTATTGTATACATGACATATTATAACATAAAAGTAATTTTAGAGGAAACATCATAAATCATTTAATTTGCAAACAGAGGTTATATGCTACAGACACATTAGACTGCATGTTTTAATTCCTAGTTTAAGATTACAATTGTTACATCTTTTAAACTGGATCTTCTTCTTGATGAAGTCTTCAAATCAAGAAGTGAGCATGTATTTAGGTCAGTCGTTTCCTGAGTGGTGTGACGTAATCATTGTTCCTCTGGTCGTCTCTGCTGCCTCCACGTCCTGCTTGTCTGTTCTCCTCCATATTGCTGTAGTTTGGAATAGTGAAGGAACTACCTACAGGGGTTTATGGCAGGAAAAGAGCCAAGATTGGGAAAGAAAACAACAAAAGTTAGTGTTGCAGAAAGTAAAGAACTTTGCTTGAATAAAAAAAACAAACTGCATGATAACAAAGTTTCTCTGACCTTCATCCCATTCAGAATGTTGTATTGAACCGAAGTAAATGTTCTGCTGTTCGGGGTTTGGTTTCTGGACGTCTTCCTCCTGCTAACATTAAACAATTACCAAAGACTTGCACCATAAAACGATAACCCACTGCGTCTGTGAAACAAACTGGCGTGCTGATACGGAAATATTCACAGTGTGGTATCACCCTTCTATCAGGAAGTGATCTACAAAACCAAATCAGGCATTTCACTGACTCTTCTCATTAAAAGTTTTGATTTTTTTTATTTCCTTGGTAGTTTTAGAAAACATTTATTAAGTTTAAAAGACGCATAAGTCATTAAAAGTTAACACTTTTAATCCAAATGTTTTTTTTCTCAGGAAGTTCCAGTTTGGATAGGCAATAAATATAATGAATATTACATTTAAAAAAGAAGACCAGCCAAATAGATGAGCAACATATTGTGATTATCATCAAAAAAAAGCTTCCACAAATACTTTTACATTTATTGTTTTTAAAATAGATTAGCAGTCAGCTTTATAATGATATAAATACTTTGAACAATTAAGAATATGCTCTAAATTGATCCCTGTGCTCTTTAATTCATTGAAAACTAAAAATAATCTAACCTTTGCAGGATCTTGAAAACTATTCAGTTGAAATTTTAAAGAGAAATTGAGACTATTTGAACATTCAAGCTTCATCAAGAGCAGAAAAAGTACAATGTATATTTTCATTCTGGATCTAAAACTTGAAAGATTTCACTCACCTGCAGAGGCAGACAGTTAATGCTGAACAACATGAAAGGAATCCAAAGGCAGAAGGTATTGTGACCATAATATATTGTAATGAACTGGTTCCTATAAAAGATGATCAACATGGCACACAGATTATTTTTAAAATGTTACAGTGTGTGTTACAGAAAGAGTCAGTAAATGCTTACATACCGTTTTGATTTTCAAGAACTGTTACGGTCCATGACATGTTGTAAAGGCCTTTTTTCCCAGATATATGACAAGAATAAAATCCTGCATCATCATGGTGAGTATTATCAATACTGAGTGTAGAAGGTTTGTTTGTGTCTATTCTCAGTCTGTGAGAGGAGAAATTAGAAAAAGTTTGATTATTGGAGATGGAGTGTATAAAATACCATCTGTCTTTGGTCCATTTGAGAACTGTTGTATTTTCATTAAATATTTCGCAAGTGAGCACGACTGGGTCTCCTCTGGACACCGACACATCATAGTGGTCTGCTGTAGCCGGCGCTGTTATTGAAGAAAAAGAAAATTAACAGGACATCCTAATTTAAGAATCTTGCATAGCAAATAAGAATTGTTTCTATACCTGCAAATACATAGGTTGTCTGTAACAGCCGAATGAAGAGCAGAGCAGCTTGCTTCACGCTGAACATGATGACATATGAGGAACAGGCGGATATTCTGTTATCTTATAACGTATAGGACCTTAGTAAAGGAAGTGCCTGTTTGCGGTTCTTTTAAAAAAAAAACCCTCTATAGCAAGTGGAAATGTTTATTGGCAATAAATGTTAAAACAGAGAACTGTCTTCAGTTTTATATATATATATATATATATATATATATATATATATATATATATATATATATATATATATAAGTGTGCGTGTGTCCCCGGTTGTGTCGGTATGCACGCGTGCGTGCGTGTGGGTGTGTGTGTGTGTGTGTGTGTGTGTGCACTTTTTCACAATCACAAACAAAATCCAAAACATCTTCCCTCCTTTTCAAACAATGAGGATTTTCCCAGTAAGGCTAATTGAAAACACCGGGTCCTCGTCAGCAGTGCTAATGGGCGCACTTCCATGACAAAACATGATCAGGTGACCTCACAGAGAAGGAGAGAAATATTAAAGCAAAGTCTTAAATAAACCAGGTTTAAACTTTCCCCCAAACAAAAACAAAACATTTAACAGTTAAATGAGTTGGAATATAGAAAGCACCAAATACAGCACCTTTTAGTGAGGGGGTGAATCCCTCACAGGGTATCATGCCAGAGTAATTACCAGCTTTAGCTAACAATTCTTAAAATGTGAAGCACTTTGGGGTCCATTGCACTTAATAAATCACTTTACAGAAACAGGCCACTTACCATACTGTGCATACTGTGGGACAGAAAGCAGCCAGAATGAAAGCCAGGTGGAAAACACATGAACTCCACAGATCATCAAACTGAGACATGTGAGCTTCTTCCTGTGAGAGGACTGTACCACCATGCAGCAGTTGTTAAATAATTACCAATGTAATGTCACATACTTTGTGACAATTAAATGTTAGAATATTTACCACTTTTACATTCTCTGCAAATTCCATCTCAAAATAAGTGAACCCCACCCCCTACTGGAATAAAATAAGATGACATTCCACGTGATAAATTTGAATCTAAAATGAAAAGAGTCAGTTTGAGGCTAATTTATTGCCATGAAAAGAAGCATTTGGCATTGAAAGCTGTTTTAGATAATGTAAAGACCTCTCCCATAAAGCATGCTATTATTTAGATTATCACAAAAAGATGAAGCAATCATAAGTCGTTTCAGTTGAAAACAGAGGATATATGTAACAGTTACATTAGATGTTTGAATTTACAGTTTTAAGAACAAAATATGTTATATCTTTCAAACTGGATCTTTTTGATGAATCCTTCAAGTCAAAGCGTGAAGTAAACTGGTTTAGGTCAGTCATTTCCTGATGTTTTCGTTGTTCCTCTGGTCATCAGTTCTGCCTCCACGTCCTGCTTGCCAGTTCTCCTCCATACTGCGGTAACTTGGAATGATGAAGGAACTGCCTCCAAGGGCTGAAGGTAGGAAAAAAGCCAAGATTGGGAAAGAAACAAAAGCAGTTTAAAAAAATAAAGCACTTTGCTGGATAAAAAAACAAATTGCACGATAAAGTTTCTCTAACTTTTACCCCATCCAGAATGTTGTATTGAACCCAAGTAAATGTTCTGCTGTCCTGGTTTTGGTGTCCAGATACGTTCCTCCTGCTGACATTAAACAACAACCAAAGAAATGCACCACAAAACATTAACTTGATGTTTATTTCACAGTGTTATTTACAACATCTGTAAAACTCATTGTTTTTACTGATTCACAGTAAGTGATCACGCTTCCGATAGGAAATCATCCACAGAACTAAAAATCATATTTCTCTGGCTTCACTTATTAAAAGTCTCAAGTTAATTATTATTTTTTAAAAATAAGAAGCACAAGTCAATAAAAGTCCACAAGTAGCTTTGAGATTTTACTGACCTGTAGAGGCAGATAGCTGTAGTCATGAAGCATAAAATTAATCCAATGACAAATAGAAGTGCAAATATAATACCCTGTGATGAACCGTTTGCTGAAAAAATAAGAATTAACCGAAGATTAAAATTTAAACTTCGCAGTATATCTGCTGCATATGTATTCATTACATACCGTTTTGATTTTCAAGAACTGTTACGGTCCAGGATGTGCTGTCAAGGCCTTGTTTCCCAGTTATAAGACAAGAATAAAGTCCTGCATCATCATGCTGAGTATTATCAATACTAAGTGTAGAAGGTTTGTTTGTGTCTATTCTCAGTCTGTCCGAGGAGAAATTAGAAAAAGTTCGATTACTGGAGGAGGAGTGCATAAAATACCATCCGTCTTTGGTCCACTGGGTCATTGTTGTATTTTCATTAGACATATAGCAAGTGAGCACGACTGGGTCTCCTCTGGACACCGACACATCAGAGTGGTCTGCTGTAGGAGAAAATGAAATAAAAATAAAACAATAAATATAACTAAAATGAAAATAAATAAATAAATAAATAATATTTATAAACAGTAATTCACTCTTTACCTGTTGAGACACTCCAGATATTTACCAGCTGGATAAAGAGCAAAGCTTTTTGGTTCAAGAGAAGCATGATGTCCAACTTATGAGGAGTCAGATAATGTGTGTGTGATGCTGCTGTGAAGGAGAACAGAAAAGGAAATGACTGTTTCCGCTTCTTTGAAAAAAAAACCTGTAAGGCAAGGTGCAACTCAAATGTTTGTCAGAAACTAACTTTGGAGTAGATCAGCTAAATAAACTTTGATCCATTTTGTTAATGAAGAGTTTTAACTCAAAGCAGAAAAATAAACTATTCATGTTTCCTGTAAATCTGCCAACGTATTCACATTTAGAACCTTGTAAATATGAGACACAGGTCAAATATTGTGTCTGATAAGTTTTAAAGGCATAGCGAGGTCACTCTTTGCCTTTAAAACAAACTTGTTGGCATGTTATTGCAAAACCTCCCTGGTTTTGCTATAAATTTTCTGATAGTGTTTTTAGACAATGGGAAGAAGCCAAAGAACGCAGAGGAGCCAAACATTCACAGGAAGAAACTCATGCAACCCCTGTCTGTTCTAAGTCTATATAATTGTTTATCTAATTTAATATATTACTCTTAAAAATGTAAGAGTAAAAATATTACTCTTACACATAGCCAACCACCTCATCTCCTTTGTTTCTTTTATTAATTTTTTTAAAGCTCAATCTCGCTAGATATCTACTGCGCTACATCTAAACAAACCTTTTTACTGCAGTGAAGTCACATGAATCAGGATATTTTATTTCAGTTAAAAGACCCATTTTCAGTAATAACAGACAGTTTTTCAAAGAAAAATGTCCTATTAATTAGACATGTATTAATGCACATGTGTAGTAGTATAGGTTTAGATTGGAATAATATTAAAGAAATAAATAGAAAGCACACAAACACACATATCTAGTTTAATAAACTTTAAATTAGCCTCTGACATCAGATCAGAATTGGAAACTGTAACATACTGTATTTGTGTTTATTCTCAGCTAAAAGACAAAATGACATTACTAGCAGACAGCTGTTGTGAGGCCACATAAAAGTAGTTGAAGGATAAACAAATCTAAATAAATGGCATCTTTATAAACTGATTACTATGGTTTGTATTTTTTCTGTAAGCAGAAAACACTGAAATAAAACAAGGGAGGTTCAAAGTAGATATATTTCTAGAATTAACAGTGAATGTGCAGCAGCTTGATGGTTTTTATTCCACGTGGGTCTTTATGGGGAGGATAGACTGGATAGGAATCCTGTTATTGAGGGTAAGTATTGAAATGAGGAAACATCACAGGTCCATGTGGTACCAGAAGATACTACTGGAACAAGTTATGGGCCTAGATAATGAACAGCAGGGTGCTGGAGGGCAGAAAGGAGGCTGTGGCGAACATGACCTGAGTAATGGAGATATTCAGCAAGAGAGTCACTCTGTACTCTTTATTACTTTGGCCGAGTACAGAAATTACCAAACTAATCTGAGATATAGAAATAAATTCTGTCTTTTCTTTTATAGAAATGGGATTTCTCATGATCAAGCGCCTGAGGTCCATCATTACATTTTCTCGTCTTGGTCACATTTGAGGCTATTGGTGATGGAATCAGATACAGAACCTGAGATGAACTGGAGGCCCAGTGTTTAGTTTTAAGAACATACAAACACATTTTCCAGACTTACAAATGAAACTTTAGTTGCCTAAGAAGCTTATCAAGTTTTGATTACATGGCAACATGCAAAGATGAACTGTGACGTCCTTAAGAAGGAACTAGATGCATCGGATAACAAAGACCACTAAAGCCTGTTTCACGTGACAGCAACACCTCCACATCTGACTGTTCACTTTGTTTCTATTGTCAATGGAAAATATTCATGTTTCAGTTTTTCCTCACTGACACATTTTTATCACTTTACATCTGCCTCCCACACATATTTTGTTGTCTTAAAACCATTAACTCCTTGGCATTTTTAATAACACAGCAATGTGTTTGTGATTACATATTGATAATACAACTGATCAGTTTATTGTCTGTCACTGCCTTATCAGAGGACTAGATGCATCTGCATCTCACCATGGACAAGGAAATAATGTTTGGCAGACTGGCATCCGGTTTAGAAAATAGTGACAATAGTGTTTGCAAATGAGACCATGTAGAAAAACACTTGACACAATTTTTATTGTGTCGACGGGAAGCTAAGAAGGACGCCATCTGCCCTCTACTGGGCGCAAGTTGTACTATATTGCATTCAAGCAGTAAAATCAATCCAAATGAACTAGAATTAATAACTACGTTGCTTCTCTTATGCAGTTGAGAAGCAACTTCATCGTGGCTACAAATATCTTGCATATTAAAGACAATGTGTGAAGACATATATGTTGTTGATTTGTGACTTCCTTTTATTGACATGTTAAACATCTCTTTTGTTAAATAATAACAATAATAATGTCCTTCAAACTGGGTTTTTTTTTCAAGTAAATTAAAGAGGTCTGAGCTCAGACATGACCATAAACAGAATTCAGTTTTTCCAGGTAGTCTCTTCTGTGCTTTTTGCTCCTCCACTGACCTGGACTTCGCATCTGATTGTGGACTTCCTGCAGCAAAACGACAGAGTCGCAGTTAGAAGTCAGAGGAGCCAAACAACGGAAACAAGCAGGAAGCAGAACAAGTCATCACACTGTTAATTAGACAGTAAATAAATAAATTAATAAAAGCACTGATGAAATATGAGTAGGTATCAGAGATGACTATGAAAAAACATGAGGTTTTTCTGATGAGTTGCTTGCTTGTTTGTAGCCACATTCATCTCTGTAGCTCTGTCAGTTATCAGTACAATCAGACAAAAATAAAGAAGGAAGTGAGGTTAGTAGCTTCAAATACACTTTAGTTTCTACGTCAGAAAGGCAGAAATAAAAGTATGCAAATCACATAAAATGCTCTGACCTGTCCTCCCACTTGAAGCTGAGTCTGGGGTTGGACTGATTTCTGTCTCTCTTTTCTGGTGCCATATTTTCTACAGAGATAAAACAATAACCGTTAATCTTCATAACTTTGTAAAAGAAGCTAAAAAGGTCAGGTAACACTTTGCACAGTAAGGCTAGTTTGAAATTGCTGGCATTCACATAGTAAGGATTTATTGAAAATAGATGTAAAAAGTCTAAAAAGGCACCAAAAAGAAAAACCTGTCCACAAAGCGTTCAGATGGTGTGGTTCACTCAATATTCAGATTCTAATACCTGTTTTCTAGTTCTGATAATTACAGTCACATGACTGTCCAAAACCATTTGCAGAGTTGGGAAGAACAGCTATAAATCTTACTAAAGTAAATGTAAAAATGTATTTGGTAAAATTGTTTCTTAAGTAGTGAGTACCTGAATAATTCTGTTTAATCTGATTTTAAAATGTATGTAATTATACAGACACAGTATAAAATTGAGTGGAGGTTTTGGTACATAAAAAAAAAGTAAATAAAAATGCTAAAAAATAAGTAGAAAATAATAAATCTGCAAAAAAAAAAAAAAAAAAACATTTTCATATCTCAGTTTTCCATAACATATAACTTGAAGCCTACGCGTAAAGGTGCAAAGTTTTACAGTGGCCATATTTGCTATTCCCTCTAATGTCAGGATCTAATGTTAGATTCTGTTACCTCCTTATTTTATCCAACTGGTTTTTTGGTCTGGATTCCTGTTTTTGTTTGGCTCTGGTTCCCTGTGTTTATTTTATTTTATTTTTATAATTCTTTTACTAAACATTCTTCACCTAAAAGCTTTCTCTGTCGCTCCTCTCTCCATTTGGGTCCACCATCAAACCTTAAATCATGACATGTACCTTTATTTGATCTCCCACTCAGGACATAGAAAAGCATTTTGATTCTTGTCAAAATGCTTTTCTAACCTCAATGAAGTATTCAAGATATTTTTCACTGAGCCCAGACTTCTGTATTAGTTTTTTATTGGTCTGATGTAATGTCTTAAATACATTAATTCTGGTGTTGGATATTACCATCGAGCAACTGTATTATTTCGAAAAATAATTTTTAGTAAGCTCAGTGAAAATAATAAAATTTTCCATCTTCTGATTTTGAAAAGTACCATACAAGATGCAGATTCACCAAAAAAACCAAAGCTGTTTTTTGTGGTGGATGTAGTTAAAATATATTTTGTGTTTTTAAAAGCTTTCAAGAAATATGATGCTACATTTTTGCAGTTAGCCACAAACAAAACTTAAACATAAAATAATTTTAGTTTCTTGTGCAATATGAACTTTATATGTTTACATGAATTAATCAAAATCTCTGACAAAGAAAAGAAAATGTAATGGTAATGGATAACTGAACACAGTATTTAAAAATAATAAGAATCCAAGATCTTCTGAATGAGATGTCACAAAAAAAACAAAAAATGCAAAATAAAAAAGGAGAGAAATCTATGTTAAAATATTTTCTGTGTTTTTCTGGCAGACCTAATTCCATTATTATCATGTTGAACATTGTAGTGTCTTCATGATCACATTATTGTACCTTATGTTAATGCAATTTTTAGGCACCATTTGCTTCAAAAGAAGAGACCCACCAACAACAACATTTTCAGAAATGGGAGATTTGATTTTGCTTGTGGCCTGTTTCTGATGTGTCTTTGTAAAAAGAAAAATAAATAAAAATTAAAAGTTCAATAATTTCAACAGCACCCCAAGCCAAACTATCAGGTAAACAACCAGGAGGGAACAAGAGAGATGAGATTATTGATAACATAATATACGGATCACGATCATTATACTGACATCAGCTGTGCCAGTAATGTTTGTAGCTCTTTAGGAGAACAAAACAAAGTAAAATTTGTATGCTTGTTAGAAATCTAGAATCAAATATCACTCACCTGCAGAGGCAGACAGTTAATGCTGAACAACATAAAAGGAATCCAAAGGCAGGTAGTAGTGCGACCATAATATATTGTGATGGACTGGTTCCTATAAAAGATGATCAACATGGCACACAGATTATTTTTAAAATGTTACAGTGTGTGTTACAGAAAGAGTCAGTAAATGCTTACATACCATTTTGATTTTCAAGAACTGTTACGGTCCATGACATGTTGTAAAGGCCTTTACTACCAGTTATATTACAAGAATAAACTCCTGCATCATCATGGTGAGTATTATCAATACTGAGTGTAGAAGGTTTGTTTGTGTCTATTCTCAGTCTGTGAGAGGAGAAATTAGAAAAAGTTCGATTATTGGAGATGGAGTGCACAAAATACCATCTGTCTTTGGTCCATTTGAGAACTGTTGTATTTTCATTAGATATATAACAGGTGAGCACGACTGGGTCTCCTCTGGACACCGACACATCATAGTGGTCTGCTGTAGCCGGCGCTGTTATTGAAGAAAAAATAATTAACAGGACATCTTAATTTAAGAATCTTGCATAGCAAATAAGAATTGTTTCTATACCTGCAAATACATAGGTTGTCTGTGACAGCTGAATGAAGAGCAGAGCAGCTTGCTTCATGCTGAACATGATGACCATCAGACAGTGAAAGACTAGCTCACTGTCTGATGCCTTAAATGTTGCTGTGGAGGAGGTGCTCAGGAAAGGAAGTGGTTAGTTGCTGTTTGGCTGAGCTTAAGTCAAAGCTGCATGTATAACCTTGTCAGGGGTTGAGGTAAAGTCATGCTTGAGTCATGTGCACAGTTCTTAAATTTAGAATCCTCTGATTTAGTTTTTGTCTTTTTGCTCAACAAAATTGGAGTTAATCATTAATAAAAATTAGTTTTAGGCATGAAAATAAAATTCACATACAGAGTAACCACAAAGTTAGTCAAGGCTCAAAAAGTTGTGGGAGGCAACTTTTTCAGAGATGGTTTGATTTTAATTTTATTCTACCACATTGCAACCATTATAACCAGGTGATGATAGAGATTTTAAGAGCCTGATTCAAATAATTAGCAGTGCTTGTTTTCTTGTCCAACTTAGCTTTTTCTTTTAGATAACTTCTGTTGCATTTTGCATCCTAGAGGTGAGACTTTTAAAACTACGACTGTTTCAGTTCTTCATATCTAAATTAGTAAGTTACTTTAGAAAGTCTGAGTTTCTTCTCTTGATGCCATTCACAAATTGTGGTTAGAACTTTCTGTGAGAAATGGTGAAGTGTGGTACCTGGTGGAGCAACAAGTGTAAACCAGGATATGTGGGATATGCATTTCTGCATGTAGGTTATGTGAAAGGTGGTTTATATTACAAAGTAATTTAAATGACTCGGTCAAGTGTTGTGGTGTAAGACTTTGTGTATTCATTTTGTTCCTCAAACGCTTACTAGTTAGAATGTAAAACAGTCCATGTGCATATAGTGTAGAGTAGTGAGGGAGTTCTTTGAGCAATGATAAGTCACATGGTTTTGCCGTGTGATTTTTCACACGGCAAAATGCCCACAAAAGTATTCTATGTATCAAGCAACTAAATAAGAGTGAAGGAAGGGAAAAAATCATCTGATTCACTCAAAGATCAGCATGTTTGACAACAAAGCTGCATTTTAGGATGGAGCATTCTCTGTTTTGGTAGATTTGACGTCCAGGCTTGCAGATATTTATTCAAAAACAATTAACTGAGGCTGGTAAAATTGTGCAAATTTAGATATTATCCAGTCATCTGTCCAGTTTTGTTAGATCCCCTTTAGACGTTGCTTGCTACGTCTAAAGGGGAAGTAACAAGATGTTTCTTGTTAAGTAACAGACCACACAAGCTGTGCTCATGACGAGCGTTTTGTCACATTTTGTTCTCTTTCAGTGACTTCTGGTTTTAGTTACCAGTTTTCTAGAATCCATTATACACAAGGAGAGCTATTCATTTCATTCCTTGATGATTTGATAATATTGTTGATGTACAAAGATATAAACAAACATTGTTTATAATCATAAGCATTTGGTCCCTTACCAAAGCAGACATTAGCTGGATAACTCTTTATTGGAAAGCACAAGCAGTAAGAAACTATCTGTAGTTGCTAACCAGGACAGACCAAGTATGTCCTATCTTCCAACATCTGAAACTGTTCCACATCTAATGTTTAATCTTAGCTTGTATGGAACATTTCAACTTTCTCTAAACATGACAGGCTGAGGTCATGCCAAAGAGGTCAATCATGTGACCACAATAGTTTCATCTCTGAATCATTTGACGTTCACTGGCAAACTTTAGAAGAGGCCTGAGGGACAAACAAACGCGCAGATGGAAACATTTTCAAATTGTTTTTCTCTTCTGATCTGTTGACTGCAGAAATAAACTGACTGCACCAATGACTGCTCTTCTTCATGATATTTTCATGTATTTTGTTACTTTTAAATTGGTTTGACAAGACTTCATGTTAAAAACGTAATAGCACTGATGGACAAAATACTTTTTTGGACATCTTTGTGAAAGTCCAGCAGAAGCTGACAGAATGGATTCCCACATGTTTTCACCCAACATGGATTCATTATGACCAGCCTGGAGATGCCCATCGGGGTAAATTTGCACCTCGTGTTTTGGGGATGAATCAGGGATTTGGTTAATCATTTTTCTATGAGTAAGTTGTTTTTCTTTTTCTACAAATCTGAAGATAAAACATTCCACTGTTTATTTTCCTGGGTATATTCTAGAGGTTTACGTATTCCCAGGGCATTCTTTTAAATATACATCTGAAAGTTGTAAACTTTTTTTGATCTACATTAACATGTATATAGACTAACATCACTGAAAAAGCTGCTGCTCCTGAAGAGGCATTAATGATTGTCCTGTTTCTTCTCAGCACTTATGGGTAGACATTACTGCTGTCTGTCATTATGTCTTCTGAGATTACTCTAATAATTAATCATAATCTGTTTCTCGCTGACATTTACAGGAGACTTTCTGTGTTAATGAGAATTGTGACAAAATTATTGTGGTAACAGACAACATAATAACCCAACTACAAAGATTTAGAGCTGGTGCTTCGATTCTCTGAACTCCAAGGTAGCTGGCGATCAAAACTTGCACTAAGAAACATCTATTTATGTTATCTTCTCACATTATGTACAGTTCACAACATGGTTAATTTCAGGTGAAATGCTTTTCTTTGTGAAAATACCATTAGATGTTTACATTTTATTTTTCAAAACAATATGCAAAACCTGATTTTAACGCCCACTTTCTATTGATATAATGTACTTCTTCCTCACCTGTCTTCCGCTTCTTCTTCTTTTCTATTATGAGGATCACAAGCAACTTCTAGGTTTATGCTGCCACCTACTGTCAGTGAGAGTGTGGCAGCATAAACTCACAACCATTCAGTTCAGATGATTGACAACCCAAACAGTTCAGTGTATAAAAGCGATAGTTTTGTTGACTCAGGTTATTTAAAGTTGATCATAGACATTTGAGCCATCGGCTCTGAAATGGGTAACAAGTTTTGTTTGTTTTTCCTTCATATGTTCTCTTTTGGGAAGTTGATTTCAAAATCTAAGTTGAATTGTGTAGTTTGGATAAACAGAAACATTTATGATCTGATTGGTGCGAAATATATTCTTTCATATGTTTGCAGCCAAGAAAGTGCTGATTGTGTATGCCAATAAAATCTCTGGCTCATTCAATGCTGCAGCTAAAAACGCTGCTGTGGAGGTTCTGACTGCTCATGGCTACACAGTGGAAATCTCTGACCTGTATGCCATGGGTTTAGCTGAGGATATCAAAGGTAAGAATCAATGCAGGTTTCTCAAATGTTGTGCTTTATTAATGCCTGATGAATCTTTCTTGCACAGGAGACTTGAAGAATCCTGAAAACTTCTGTTATCTTGGTGAATCCAAACTTCCATGGGAGCAGCGAAAACTTTCAGATGACATCACAAAGGAACAATCTGAGCTCACTGAGGCAGATTTGATTATCTTTCAGGTATTTCTACATATCGGTGATCTATAAATGCACAATGATGTACTTACTGTAGTCCCTCTTTCTGTTCCCCATGTACTGGTTCAGTGTTCCTGGTATCCTGAAGAGCTGGCTTGATCGGGTGCTCACCAGTGGCTTTACCTTTTCACAAGGGAAACCTTCAAGGTAAGAGTTCAATGAAGGGTTTGCAGAAATCCAAACATGCTGTGTTCAACCTGTTTCCTTCTAGGTCAAGAAAGCCATGCTGTCCTTCACTACTGGGTCTCTAGAATCCATGTTCAGTCCAACGGGTATGAATGGAGACATGAACATCACACTGTGGTCACTGCAGGTAGTTTAGTGTCTTGACTGGTTCCATTGCAACATACTGGAAACCTCTTAGCAAGTCTTTCTCTGCAGAATGGCATCCTGCAGTACTGTGGCTTCCAGGTTCTGGCCCCTCAAATCTTCTGGGCTCCGGCTCTGGTAGTTACTGAAGATCGTAAGAACATGCTGGAGAACTGGCGCACACGACTGCAAGGCCTGCTGGAGGAGAAGTCCCTGTCCTACACAACCTTGGACTGTTTTGATGAGAAGACTTTCCAGTTGAAGCCTGATGTCCATGAGAAGCGTCCCGGCAGGAGTTTGGTCTGACTGTGGGCATCCACCTGAACAAGCCACTTCCGCCTTACAGTCAGATAAAGGCTGGATGTTGAAATGTTGCCATTGTATGATCAATGAAACTTGGTTCATTCTGAAGATGTGAAGTTTACATGACTTGACTTCAATTTGCACTTTTTCATAATCTAAATGTGAATCAAACTTGTTTAAAATTAAAGGAATGATTTAAAAATTACTAACCTACAGATTTAATTCTGGCAGTAACTACTGAAGTTGATGTGCTGAGTTTCCCCCAGCTGTATTTTCAATGTTTTAAAAATGTGTAACCACCAAGGAGATGGCATTTAAGAAGCTAAAGATAAAATGGAAAGGTCAGTTTCATTCACTGGTATGTCTCTTGTAAAAACTTTATTGTGCACAATAATGCTCTTTAAATATCTAGAGCTATGAGATGGGTTAAAGGACAGATACTAGAAACGGTGTTCTTTATAGAGGGGCCTTCTATTCAGTATATTAGTCATTGCCCACACAGACTGCCACGCAAAAAGCTCACAAAAAATGTCAAACAGAAAAATGAAACTCACGTGTTTCAGGGGTTTGAGACAAGTCAACGTTTGCAACATACATTGGGTTTCCAAAAGAAATCTTTGTAGCATGTAATTCTCAACAGAAAATTGTGCAAAGTTACAGTCCATAGCAATGAGATTTCCATTTTAAAAATGAACAGTAAATAGTAACAAGTTGAGGTAATATGTGACCAAAGGTGGTTTAATAAAACGGTAATCACAATTTTACAATGTCTTACTTTTTCATCAAAGGCTTACACAGGTGGGTTTATTTCGAATACAATGTACACAGAGATGGAAAAAGGAGAGAAAGAAGGTGAGGGGAAAAAATGCTTAAAGGGAAAGAGCAGAGGAGTGAAAGAACATAAGTCTGTGTGCTAGAAGTCTGCCTCCAGACCTGCAGAGAGAGAGAGAGAGAAAAACTATGCAAGAAACCACAATAACAAACAACATATACTTGTAGGTCAAAACTTCACATTTTTGTGCCTTCTGATCCAATCACCAACTTCTACATATGTGCAGTGCTGCCTCCATCACTTATAGAAAACTGCACATATGGATTTCCTTCTAAAATTGTTTTCTTCTTGCTTCTCTTCGTGAATAACTAACATACTATTAGTCATGGTCTCAATAAATCTTTTACAAACGATTAATAGGAATTTTCCTGTTGTGACATTCAATTCTTCATGAGTGCAGTTAATAATTCAACAAAAAATTGAATGCTTAAATTATTTTACTAAGTTATGAGCATAATTTTGATAGCCAATGTCGCTCTATTTAAAGGGTGACGTTGGCATTAGTGGGTTGCTTGTCTCTGACAAACAGAAAACTTGTTTCAAAGTCTGCTCTTGAGTGTGAGTGTTAACTAAGAAGACCCATCTCTCTGCAGATGTCTGATGTAATACATGGGTGAGTTTGTACCAGGTTTACCTCCCACATTTATGTCTATTCTCTTTATGGAAACTGTTTTCACACTGAGATGCTGGTTGAGAGCATTCAGGAGGTGCAGGAGGTCGGATAAGATCACTGAATAGAGAGCGTTGGTTGTTACTCAAAAACATGTGAATAATCCTGTTTGTTGCCATTATGGCAGGAAAAAATGTCAACTAATAAGTAGCAGTGTTTAGCTGATTCGATTGCATCTATTATCTCTCCTCCTCTGTCTTTGAATATTTATGAATTTATTATATTCAGCAGGCAAAGAAATATTATACATGTTACACTTTGAACAAAGAGCCTTAATCCTATTATCTTCAACTGCAGGGCTCTCCTACATGATCCTATCCTGATTCTATCAGAGGAAGCGTTAACTCTCAACGTTAACCTCAACCTTCAACCACGTTTGCACCAAAGATTCTCTCACTTTCTGAATTACTCTGCAGATCTCAGATGATATATACACATATGTATATCTAAACATTGATAACAGAAGTTTCAGGGAGCACAGCAGAAACTGATTGCAATCATGTGTGTGTATGGGAGAGTCTTACTGGCTGCATCTCGTCACTGACCTCACAGGCATTCATGCTTGTTTGAGAATATTTGAGATGCCTGTCAGAAAGCCCTTGGCAAAACACAGAGAGACATTGGAGCAGCTACTCTGCCTCTGTTGTGTGTGGTGAACACTGCATGGTCTGTTCCAACATACACATCTCCTCTGTGCATGAATTTAAATTAGAAATAGGAGCATAAACTGTAATGGCCTGAACATGTCTTGATTGCATTGTTTGCATGTTTAATCCTTACTCGTCATAAAAGGTTGCAGTAACTGCGACAAAAAAATGTCAGTTCCTGTAGGTTGAGAACACAGATGCTGTTGCATTAATTAGCGTGTTGCTAGTTTCACGACCATGTCATCCAGAGAACCATCTGTCATGCAGCTAATTTGGTCCGAAAAAACATGTCAATGTAAAGAGAGGCCGATCTGAGTGTCCATCCCGATCAGAACAACAGGGTGGATTGTTTTTGCTGAGGCCTTGTACTAGTTATGTGTTACCAACATAGAAGTTTGTGAGAGAAAGGTTACAGGCCCGGAAGAAACAAACGCATGCTGGTGCAAAGAGCAAAGACACAGAGACTAAAATAAACCTCAAGAAGCACAAATTAACCACAACATATTTTTCGCCCACGGTGTACCTGCAACTTTTCTTTCCTCAGTAGGCTGATTATTTTGTTCACAGTTATTAATTTACAAGTTTGCATGTATATTTTAGTCTTCAGAATCACCTTATGGTTAGCTTTCAAAGTAAAGTTGCAGTATTTAAATGTTCTAAAAATAATTTTTTTTTGTATATCTTATAACCATTTAATGTACTTGGGTCAAATCATGAGTTGTTCTAAATAACTTTCAGTTTTGACCCAAAACATTCCAAAAATTCCTAGATATTTTAGGAATTTTAGAAATTTTATTTTTCAGAAATAAATCTGACAGAAAATGTGTGGGGCACCCAGAAGGTGGCTGTGGACAACTCAACAATCATGTTCAAGAAACCTTTGCAGGGCACAGAGGACAAACAACACCAACCCAGGCTGTGGGATGCTGACAGGAAGAGAGTAAATGTGGAAAATTAAAAAAAGTGTTTCAAAGTAATTCTCTGTGTCCACACAGACCAGATTGTTGCACCGTTTTTTGCTTGATTCGCTTCTTTTCAGTCATACTGTAGAATATAAACTGCACATCAAAAGTAGGAACATTTTGAAATAATTTATTGGGGTCTACTTTTACTATGAAAATCTGACTTTTGAACATTTTAATAGAGTTAATAGTATGTGAGAGATTTTGAGAAACCACAGCTCATCAAAAATGCTCTTGTGTTCTATAAAAAAGCTGGATGATAGAAAAATTGCTTGGGTTTTTCAATAACAGCCTGCATCCTGAACAAAATAGCTTTCCTCTTGTTCCTTGTGCTATGAGAATGAATAAGGATGAAATTACCTCTCTTATCACAGTGACACCCAACAGCACATTAAAGTCAATTGTGCCTGAAAGATGTGGGACTGATAAATTGTTGGGTTCATGCTCTATGATTGAAATTCCCATTTTGCATATTTGGGCTCAGGTAAATCATAATCAACTCTATAGGAACAACAAATACAAGATTTAATTTCAGTCTAGCAAAACTTGAAAATACTGAGTTTTCTGTACAGAATAGGATTCAGGAAAACCACTTTGTTGTCAGGTGCAACGTAACAACAATCGTTATTCACCAGGTTTATACTAGAGGTGAAAGTGATGTTTGATGACTGAAGTTCTCAAGCAAACCTTTTCACACAATGGCAAAGAGTATCACAAAGGCAGGAAAAGTAAGAAATGAGGATACGATATGACATCACCTGAGGTGATGCACATGTGATGCACGGTTAAATGGAACATGACTGTTTCTTTTAACCGTGATAAGGAACGGTTAAAAGAGGCTGAAGGGACTATCAGGAGAAAGATCCAATAAAAGGTAAACAAAGAAATCATGCAGCAAACCGAAAAAAGTCACAAATCTATGATAACTCTTACATTCTGTACAGAAAATTGGTTTTTAGTCTCATGAAGACATTAAAGAACAGATAAGCTGTATATGGTGCCTTGTTAAAGTTTTCCCTTTTTTGTCACACAACAGTCTTCAGTACCTCACAATGATTTAATGTTTTAGACTCAAATGGATGGATGAAAAAATAATACATTGATAACATGGTGTTCAAAACCCCCAACAAACTGAAAATATTGCCATACATTTGAATCCAGCCCTTCTACTCTGGTGTGCTTACAGAATAGACTGATTGACAAGAGTCCTGTTTGTGGTTTTTATCTTAGCAAAGTTTCACAGCAGACTAGAAGAACAGTTTAAATCAGGATGAGGTTAGAAAACCATTTTCCAAACTGTGAACAGCTAACACATCATGTGACGGGTCTCAAGTACAGAATTTCTCCTTTCCATACATCGATTCAGGTCAAATGTGTACTTTATTTACAAAAAGCAAAACTGAGACAGAAATTAAATGATTAAAGTATTTAATTCATATTGTGTATGAATAAATATAAAGGAGTAGCTTTCCGAGTTAGCGTGCAGATGTTGTCGATGTGTGAGAGAGTTCATCTTGCTTAGTGCAACACATTTTTGTGCATGCAGAAGGTGTGGAAATGGAGAGCGATGACAGGAAAGTTAGGGCCAAAACATTCTCAAAAACACAGAGACAGACAACCATGCACACACACTCACATCGAGGGAGAATTTAGAGAGACCATTTAACCTGACAGTCATGTTTTTATTGGACAATGGGAGGAAGCCAAAGTACCCAGAGAGAATCCACACATGCACAGGGAGAACATGCAAACTCCATGCAGAAAGCGCCCTAGCTGGCAAGGCAACACTGCTACCAACTGCCCCACTGTGCATCTGTACAAACCAAAGAAGATAAACACATCACAGTGCAAACATTAAATTACAGTAAGGTGATTAGAAACTGAAAAGCAATCAGGTGACACTAAAACAGGAAGTAAACATCAACAAAGAAACAATGGTTAACTTAAAAATTAT